AGGGTCTTAGGACTCACCTGGAAGAGCAGCCAGTGTCTGTAACTGCAGAGCCACCTCTCCAGCCCGGTCCCAGCATCATTCCTTTGTTTTGTCTCCACCGAGGAGCACCTGTGTTGTTCTGCAAGGTGACTCTTTTGAATGCTACCGCAGTAGATATGCGTAGGGGTAGTAGACATCTTATGGTGGCTTGAATTCCTTTGCACATATGCCCAGGGACTGTACAGCTGACTCCTGTGGAAGTTCTACTTGTAGTTTTTTTTTTGTTTGTTTGTTCTGTTTTTAAAGAAATCTCATGCAGATCTCTTCAGCGGCCGCATCACACCCCTACCCACTACCCTCAACATTTTCCTTCCCCATCCCTCCCTCCCTTCCATCCTATTCCCCCCCCCCCCTTCTTTCTTATCAGTTCTTGAGACAGGGTCACATGTAGCCCAGACTGGCTTCAAACTTGCTATATAGATGAAAATGACCTGGAACTCGGATCTTCTTTCCAAACACTGGGGTCACGTGGTGCACTATTGTGTCAGTCAGGGTTCTCTGGAGTAACAACTTACAGAATGGACACCCCCCACCCCCGTGTGTGTGTGTGTGTGTGTGTGTGTGTGTGTGCGCGCGCATGCATATGAGCATATACGTAAATGAATGAATGAAGGGGATTTATTAGACCTTTAGGGGAGGGTGAAGATACAAGGTCTCCATTGAGAGTGCCTGCCCTGGGCACTGTGGTCCTTGGACATCCTTCCGAGGAGCTTCAGGCCAGGCAGACTTCAGCTATTCCCCCTACAGGGAACTCAGTCTGGCTGGGCTATTCAGGAAGTTCCTGTTGGGACAGAGTCTCCCTCCAGGAGTCTCTTTTCCTACTCACCAGCCTGCATGGTGAGCCCATGGCCTCTGCTCTTGTTGGCTGTCCTCTGTGTCTTCCAAAGAGCCTCCCCGGAAGCTCTTGTACTTAAGACGCCAGCCATCACCACAGCTGCTTGGCCAGGGACCCAAAGGGACACGGCAGACTCCACGGGAAGACTTGGCTCAATCCTGATTACCTCAGGATGGGCAATGGTAGTTTCTACCTGGAGTCGGCCGAGAACGGTTTTTCAGCTGATTTCAGATCAGTCTCTGGATGACTTTCCCCGGTGGCTCATGAGAGGTCACGAGGGCACACTGTAGAGGAAGAACTCGATGGTTTTCATGCTACCCACGAGATGGATGGGGAGCGACTGGCACAGCGGGAAGTGGACCCCAAAATAAATGTCCTGCAAATGTATGTATGGCGAGTGTTTGTTTCTCTCTTAGTCACACAAGGAGCCCATAGGATGTAGTTGCGGGCTGCTTGTCCCTGGCTGCTGTGTGGTTGAGGAAGGATGTATTTAATGAGTGTCCTTCATATGGGATGGTCACCTGCAGCCCCCGGCTTCTGAGGGAACCCTGCACACTTCTTTTGGGGGAGCTGGGCTGAGGCATTGCAGGGGATCACTCGTTAAAACTCGGAAGTGGCCAGCACAATGCTAAGAAGGCGGGTAGGGTGAAATGGGTAGGGCCTGACCTGGGATCTAACACTCGGTTCATTACCACCAGGACCTAGGAAGAGTCAAGGGGAGGCGGCAGACAGGTCACACCCCAGACCCAGGTCGCTCAGGCCAGGTAGCCTGGTCCTCCCCCATGTCACTTCAGAACTGGGGCTGCCAAGGGTTAGAGGCTGGTGTTACAGGAGGAGCCCAGTTCCCGTCCTTTGAGGGTATGCAGTGCCCCAGGCATGTGGGCCTGCTAGAGAAGCTACAGCCTAGAGTCTGGTCCCAGCTCTCACTGTTCCTCCCTCGAGGGAATGGAACTGTAGCTCTTCAGATCGGCGCAGTCTGGGGACGTGGGGACATGGCTGATGTGCGGAGGACTTGCCTTCTTTCCCAGTCACCTGCATGCGTTGGTAAAACTCAAGCTATGCGGTCCTGTGACCTTGGAAGTCTGGGGACACTGAGACATGTAGGGAGCCACGGATTCACCCCCCCCCGTGACAGCAAGCTCCCCAGGGGGGACGTCAGGAGGGGATCCAAGTGAGGGACAGAACTGGAAAGAGGCCACCTGGGGGGAGGGGAGTGGGTCCTGTGTAAGCTCGGTGTCACCTCAGAAGGACACCCGCTGGAGATGTCAGTCCCCAGGTGTCAGGCCTGGATGCGTTTCCAGTGCATATTGTCAGTTCATTTCCAGACCAACAAACGGTCCCCAAGAGGACGAGAGCAGCTTGCCCTCCCCACCCCCTCCACCCTTCCCACCCCTGTGCAACTCAGACCTGATGAGCTGGGGACTGAGTGGTGCGGGTGCCTCCCCAGGCGACATCGTCACTGGTTGGTTTGGCTCGCAGTAGGCTCAAAGGCGAGAGAAGATGGATGGAAGGGCACTGAGGTCCCTGTGATGGCATGGGTATTTTGCACATAGCCGAGACCGTCGCTTAAGAGTGGTCCTGCTGCCACTTTCAAGCCTGGGGACTCCGGGCTTCCCTGAGCACATTTTCCCTCCAGGTTTTTGGTAGCAGTGGTGACTGGCTATCTCTTCAAGACTTGGATTTTCTAGTTAAGTTCCTCCCTGAGCTGTAAGGCTTGGGAATCAGAGGACCAGCAGCCGGATTTCCTGGGGGCTCATGTAGGTCTTCTCTGTGGCCAGCAGGTGGCACCATAATATCATTTCTACTGGCCTCAGGCTGTCACCAGCCCCGTAAGGGAGTCAGCAGCAGGAAGGTTATTTGGAAGGGACACCAAGCCTGCTATTCGGCAGATTTTACAAGTGACTCTAGCTCCTCCCTGTGGCCTCAGGGATAGCTGAACTGAGTCCCAGAACAGACACTGCACCTGATTCCTTTGACCCCAGCTCTAAGGAGATTCTGAGCTTTTCTCCCTCTTTAAACTGGCAACAGCTGGTTTTGCTAAGAGGGACTCAGCCCTGGGGACTGTGTGTGAAGGGAGGAGGACAGGGATGGGTAATTTAGAGCTCTGGTTGGGAGCAGCAGCTTCCTGGCTGTCCCATCCCTGCCTTTGGAGCATCCTGAGGCAGACCCTCCCTGGTCCCTTAGAGGCAGCCATCTTTGACGTCAGTCATGGTAACTGTAGCCCTGGTTTGTGGCCATGAGCACAGCCCATCCATCCACCATTTAATCTTTCATTGAGCATCTACTCAGTCCCAGATGCTGACTCGGCACTGGCCCGGAGGAGACACGCACTTAGGGTTGGGGAGGCAGACCCTTAAACACAGGCCAAGAAGACGGCCCATGGCACGCGGGAAGGAAGGCCTCTGTCCCCAGGGATGGCTAAAGAGAAACACAGCCCGGGGTTTCATGGATATCAGCAGAGGAGACCACCCTTGATGAGGAGACAGGGAGCTGCAAAATACTCCACACAGCAGTGAATGATCGTCTCTCAGGTGGCCGTGGGGCAGAGGACGAGCAGGTGGGCTGCAATGGGGGGGGCGTACAGAGAGAAGGAGACCAGGCCTGCAGTCCCGGTCTGAGCTGGGAGGGGAGCCATGCAAGGAGATAGAGATCACGGAGAAGCAGCAGGAAACACCGCTTTGTCTTCACATATGTTCAGTGAGTTTTCCCACCTGGGTGCTAGTTCAGCAGCAATCACAACAGTTAACATTTATTGAGTACTTGTTATAGACCAGGCACTTCTGAAACATGTTACATGTGCTTCCATCTGCTCCCGAGTCCACTCAATGAGGTAGGGACTATTAACACGGATGAGACAACCGAGTCAGAGCCGAATGCCTGGAGCCAGGAGCCAGGAGCCAGGAGCCCAGACCTCCCTGCCTCTCCCCTCCTCCCCATGGGTATCTCGACCTTCCAGCTGAGTCCCAGGAGGGAGGCCAGGCCCTTGCCTACGATGTCTGGTGGCGGTCAAACGGCTAAGATGGCCAGACTGACTGAGAGTTGGTGGGGGAGGAGCCCGAGGGGGAAGGATGAAACCCTCCCAAGGCCAGGGAAGAAGAACCAGCTTTCCTGGCGGTGGCAGATGCTGGCAGCGCCCTCTTTTTTTCCAGCGGCATGCCACTGCCTCACCACAAGAAAAGCCCGGAGTTCAGGTCATAGATGGGAGGGGCTTTATTGGCAGCGGGGCAGGGAGCTCTGGGCCAGGACACATGGCATTGCTCTGAGACTCCAGCTCAGGTCAAGCCCAAGGACCTCTGCCTGGGGGACCTCTCCCTCCACCACTGAACTTTCCAGTGCTTCTTTTTCTAGCAACGGAGACAAGCCATCCCTACCCACCAACATCCTCCAGACAAAGTGACTCACAGCTACCCATGGGGAGCCAGGAGCAGAGTTTTGCCTGAAGGGCATCTTGTATGGCAGGCACAGGACCCTCTCTGCCTCTCAACCAGACATATAAGTTTTGCCCAGGACCCCACTTCCCAGCCTCAGGGTGGGGACAAAATGAGGCGGGAGGACACAAGGTTTCCAATCATTTTCCTCCTGCCCCACGGAGGGGAACCTAGGCAACGCACCCTGCCCTGTCTGTGTAGCCCTCAGCTCCCATACTCTGACACCGACCTCCTGGCTGGCAGGAGTCTTCAGCTACCGCGTTTACAAGGCCTGACTAGGGCTGGGGCCTGGCCCGGTATTTCTTAGCAGCTACAGAAACAGCAGTAGGCACCCAACTTGGGGGTTGCTTCCCCCCCCCAGTTACCTGTCTGCTTGTGGCAGGGTGAATCAAGAAGGGCAAGACCTTAGTTTAGGAGCCCTGAACCTTCTATAGCCTCCCCAACGCTGGGCAGAGAGACAGGGGTAAGCCAGTCCTGAGCTGGGCCTGGGAGGGGCAGGAACAAAAATAACCCGGTACAGGCTCTTGCTGGGGCCAGAAATAGCATAGTGACAAGTGCCTTCTAACACCCCAGGCAGCGAGGCTGAGCGGAGGAGGGTTTTGTCTCACACCAGACCCTCACCTGGCCAACGGGCTCACACGCCGTCCACTCTACATACCACACTTTATTCTCCATGTGCTCACATAAGTAAGTGGGGGCCTGAGGAACCGCATCTCAGGACAGGGAATCCGGAGAGATGCTAAACTTGGGCTTGGCCTTCGCCACAGCTACACTGCGCTTGCGCAGGGGCCCTCGCGTAGAGGCGAGGGTCAGGGCATCCAGCAGGCTGCGGTCCTCATCAAGCTGGCGGGCTGTGCAGAGTGGTGTGGGCACTTTGACGGTGTTACCAAATTTGGAGTAGTCCACAGAATACCGGCCGTCCTCCTCAGCCACAATGGGGACAAAGCGCTGCCCCCATAGAATCTCGTCAGCTAGGTAGGAGGTGCGGGCCTGGGTGGTGATGCCTGTGGTTTCTACTACGCCTTCCAGGATGACAATGATCTCCAGGTCTTGGTGGTGGTGCAGGTCACTAGGAGCCAGGTCGTAGAGAGGGCTGTTGGAGTCGATGACGTGGTAGATGATGAGCGGGGCCACCAGGAAGATGCTGTTACCGCCCACGCCATTCTCCATGGGGATGTCCACCTGGTGGAGAGGCACGACCTCACCCTCGGGGCTGGTGGTCTTGCGCACCACCTGCATGTGGATGGTGGCACTGATGATCATGCTTTTGCGGAGGTCCCCCACCCGAAGCATGAAGCAGAGGCGGCCATGACGCAGGGTGATCACAGCATGCTTGCTGAAGATGAGGGTTTCTGCTCTCCGGTGCGCCTGCGCCGTCTTCATGAAGATGCAGCCCAGCATGATGGCATTGATCATTAGCCCTACGATATTCTGCACGATGAGAATAAGGATGGCCAGGGGACACTCTTCCGTCACCATGCGCCCGCCGAAACCAATGGTCACCTGGACCTCGATGGAGAAGAGGAAGGCAGACGAGAAGGAGTGAATACTCGTGACGCAGGGCACAGTGGTGCCCTCTCCGGGGGCCAGGTCACCGTGGGAGAAGGCGATGAGCCACCAGACCATGGCGAAGAGCAGCCAGCTGCACAGGAAGGACATGGTGAAAATGAGGAGCGTGTGGGGCCATTTGAGGTCCACCAGCGTGGTGAACACATCCTGCAGGAAGCGGCCCTGCTCTCGAATGTTCTTGTGGGCGACGTTGCAGTTGCCTTTCTTGGACACGAAGCGGGCCCTCCTCTCCCGAGCACGGTACCTGGGCTCTGTAGGGTCCTCTGCCAGCCGGGTCAGCACATATTCCTCAGGGATAATGCCCTTTCGGGACAGCATGGCTCCGCCGGCCCCAGGAAGGGGCTCCCCCCATGGGGGGCGCTGCCCTGACTTGGTCTATGGCCTCCCTGTGGGGTCCCCTCTTTGAGCTCTCTCCTCTTCGGGCTACCCTAAACTTGTACCAACCTCGCTCGCCTGATATGCCCCCAGCTGGGTCCTCCTCCTCTTTACAGCAGCTTCAGACGCCGGCTCACCGGCTCACGGCTTATAACCCAGCCCGGCCTGCGCTCTAGCTGGCCCTGGACCGCTCGGCTCCCTACACCACCCCTGACCTCCCCCAACTCCCTTCCCCTGGCCCAGCCTTTCTTCCCAGGCGACCTCAGAACTTATCACCTCCGGGGCTCCCAGATCACCGGTCCTCACTCCGTGCCCGCTGGCCTCTGGCCTCCCCCACTCTGTCCCCTGCCCCCTCCAAACCCCAGCTCCACTTCCTGACCCAGTCTCCCCTGCAGGTGTGCCCCGATTTCCCACCGCACCCCAGCCCTCCCCTAGCGCCCCCGCTGCTCTCTCGATCCTTCTCCAGCTCTCGTCCTCTCTGTCTCCTTGGGATCCCGCGCCCTTCGAGTCACCCCGCAACCAGCTGCGCTCCCGATCCCCTCGCCCCCCGCCGCCCAGGCCCCGATGGCTCCCGTGTCGCGGCCTCCCTGCCGCCCGCCCGCCCGCCCGCCCGCCCGCGGTCCCCGCCCCGCCTGTGGCCGCCGCACCTGCTCCTGCTGCTCAAGCCGCGGCCACCTCCCTGCCCCCTCCCACTCCGGTGCTCGCTGCCGGCCGGCTTCCCGGGCGGGCGTGTGTCTGTGTCCTGGGCGCCGACCGGCGCGCGGTGGGGGTGGGAGACGGCGGGCGGGGGGCTCCCGAGGGCGAGGGCAGCCTCCGCCGCCAGGGGGCGCCAGATCGGCTCCCGAGCGGAGGACTGGGGCGGGCCTGGGCATAAGCCCCGCCCACAGAGGATTCTGGTCCCACCCTCGCCTGCTGCCATCCTCAGATAGGATATAGGATTTTTTTTTTTTTTTTTTAATGGATGGCTCTAAAGACATTCCTTCTGTGAAATTCTCTTAGTCTGGCTCAGCAGCCCCTGGAGCCCTGACTTCTATTCCCCCGGTCCGCAGTTGGGTCTCACACAGCACTTGATTCCCGGGGAAAGAAGGCAGTGAGAGGTTCTCATCGGCAATCCTGGGACTGGGCTGAGATAAAACATTAGTCTCAGGGCTTCTCAACCGATGACTCTTCCATTTGGGGGTTATTCTTGATCCTACATGAATTTGTCTACTTGTCTGTTTACCTATTTGAGACAGGGTTTCTTGTAGCCCAGGGTGGCTTCAAATTTGCTATGTAGTGGAGGATGACCTTGAATTTCTGATCCTCCTGCCAGAGTGGTGGGTTTCCAGGTGCAGAACAAGGCCCCGATTTCCACCCCTGAATTTTAAGAGGCTTAGTTCTGCCAGAATTTGCTTTGCACTCTGGGTAGCTTCAGCCCGATTTCTTTCCCCTTATCCCTGGCAGGGATCTGGGCATGAACAGCCATTTTAGGGCTATCTTGGGCACAGAGTGGGTGACCCAGTTATTGTCAAGAAGAGTGGTGATGTTTCCATTGTAGATGCCACCCTCGTGTGGCTCCTGAAGGTTATTGGGTCACCTGTAATTTGATGGCTGGCACTGGGCTCAGGTCCTTTGAGACAAACCCTACCCATTGTGTAGCTAGCGTGAGGGCTTGAGGCAGGGGCTAGTGGAATAGTGGTACTAGGGATTCGGGCCAGCATGGAACATTTTCATATTGAGTCGCAAACTTCCAGAGACAGTTGCCTTCGTTCTCTCCAAATCTGCCTACAGGTTGAGCAGACCCTGCTATAAAGACTGAGTGAGGTCATTACTATACTAATGGGGCATGATGCCTAAGTCAGGGGACATAAAAACAAGTTGAGTAGAGAACAGGGAGCTCAAGGACTCAGTTACACAGGAAATCTCTGAGGCCACCTCAAAGAATGGCTATCAGGTGTGATCGGTCCAATGGGCAGTATCAGGGTAGAGTGGGACAGAGGCAGGCTCTGGCAGACATATCTGAGTCTGCTCTGGTGACGGCGACTAGAGATGGCCCACATAGTGGAAAGGTACAAATCTGAGTTGGTGGACCACTAGTTAGATCATCATGGAGGGATCTGGACCAGGATGATCTTGGGCATGCATTTCCTCTGCTGCTTCTTTGGCGTATGGATCTCTCCCCTGGCAGGGCAGAGGCCCTTAACCCTCCCTTCTGGAAGTCCAGAGTGGACGAACTGCTGGGCCCATACGGGCATCTTAGGGCTGGAAAGGCAGATCCTGCCCTTGGGTGTGGCTTTAGCTAGTCCCTGCCCCAGGAGAGAGGAGGCTGGGTGTCTTGCCCAAAGGACTCTGCCTCCTACTCCGATTTTCCCAGTGTTCACAGCCGTCTCCCCAAACACTGTACCTGTCAAGTCCTTTCCCCCAGAGGCCTACCCCACGCTCACTGTCCCATCCCACGCTCACTGTCCCACCCCACGCTCACTGTCCCACCCCAGGCTCACTGTCCCACCCCACGCTCACTGTCCTACCCCACGCTCACTGTCCCATCCCACGCTCACTGTCCCACCCCACCCCACACTGTCCCACCCCACGCTCACTGTCCTACCCCACGCTCACTGTCCCACCCCACCCCACACTGTCCCACCCCACACTGTCCCACCCCACGCTCACTGTCCCACCCCACACTGTCCCACCCCACACTGTCCCACCCCACACTGTCCCACCCCAGGCTCACTGTCCCACCCCACACTGTCCCACCCCACACTGTCCCACCCCACACTGTCCCACCCCCACGCTCACTGTCCCACCCCACTGTCCCACCCCACGCTCACTGTCCCACCCCACGCTCACTGTCCCACCCCACGCTCACTGTCCCACCCCACGCTCACTGTCCCACCCCAGGCTCACTGTCCCACCCCACGCTCACTGTCCCAGCATTAAAGCTCTTTGACGCTACCCTGCTGCCCTTACCCCCTCACCCACACGACACACTGGGCACACCGGCCTCATGTGGCTCCTCCCTCCCCATCCTGTCTTTGGGATTATCTAATTTCTTCCCTCCTACACCCAACACGAATCCTGCCTTTCTTTTCCAGGCAGCCTGCCAGGCTGAGCTCTCCCTCGAGTCCTCTGTCTCCTGGCACTTAGGTTGTAGAGCTGGGGCCCTCCTGCAGCCCTGAGAAATGAAGACCTAAGGCTCGTAGGTCTGCAACCCCAGGGAAGCCAGCGCTGCATACATTATGCAAATTATAACCAAACGACATGCAAACAAGCACCTGCCATTTCTTGGCAGAGATGGTTAGTTATGTTCCTGTCCCCTGATGCAAATGCGGTTGGGACAAGCTGCTGTTTGGTCTCCTGGTGTCTAGTCCCGGTACCTTGAGTCACCACCTGGCTGACTTGTACAGGGGCTGCTTGGGGACCACTGTTCCCTCACTTGTGAATGCTTCTGGGGTGCAGGAGGGAGGAGGAGATAATGGCGTGAGACCCTGGCCTAGCCGGCAGAGTATTCTGGACCTCTGCCAAATAGCTGGGTGGGGGTGGGGACGTGGCCAGGTGAGTCACTGAGATTCCTTCGCGTCTAGGACTTTACTGGAGCACTGGGAAAAAACAGCTCATTTTCCTCTTGGTTGCTGCAAATGAAAGCTACTAGTAGCCGTCCGTCACCAGAGAGAGGAAGTGGGGTCCAGAAATGAGGGCACCTTCCCCACGTCAGACGCCTGGGGCAGCATTCCGCCAGGCCGCTTCCGGTCAGTCACATACCACAGCAAATTCAGTTCTTGCTTAGCCGTGCTGAGTCCCTGTTAGTGGAGAGCTGGGCGCCAGATGCCGATAAGTAACCCAGGTGAGCAGGAGAGAGTCCCAGAGGGATGGAGACCTGACCCTTTATCCCACGGGGCTGCCCACCCCTGCTGTAGCCACATTCCATCCCTGAGTTCATAGGATGCAGTCCCTACTGCGTTTATTTGTGGCCTGGGCCCATGAGGAAGCCATTAAGGTTCAATGAGGTTGTGGGTAGCTAATCCGATAGTGACTTAGAGGGAGAAAGGGGTGGGGAGAGGGAGAAAGGGGTGGGGAGGGGAAGTTTGAGGACACAGCGAAAAGCTAAAGAGGCCTCAGGAGAAACCAGAGCAGCCCACACCTTGATCTTGACTCAGCCTCCAAGACAGAGACAAAGACCTTTTTGCTGTCATTGTTACCCAGACTTGGGCATTTTGTTATGGCTTCTGGAACTGCCTGACACAGAGCAGGAACATGGTTTTGCCTCTGTTCACATGGCATCTTCAAGTCTGCCTGGTTCCAAAGGCAGGCTGCTTCCCTGCACTTCCACAGAGCCAGGGCCTCCGGTAGCAAAGAATTAATTTATTTACAGGTGATTTACAGGTACAAATCCTAGGCAAGCGAGTGAGGCATGGGGTGGGACTTTGGCTCCAGCAAGTCACTTGTCCGCACGGACAAAGGAGGCAAACACACTGTCCTTCCGGCTGAGAAGCGTCTCTGGCTTGTCAAACTCCAGGATAGCACCCCTCTTGAGGACCATCACCAGGTCTGCACTTAGGATGGTGTGCACACGATGCTGGGTGAGCAGGAGGGGCTGGTTAGTGTGGTGGGCAGGGCACCTGAGGGAGCCTGCTCTCCCCCAGCCTGGAGGAGACTCATGACCCCCATGCAGCCCTGACCTGAGGCCAAGCACAAGCTTAAGCTTTTGCTCTCCCTTCTTCTACTTCCCGAGTGCTAGGATTGCAGTGTTGCCACCACACCCCATTTCTACCGTGCTGGGGACTGAACCCACGATTTCACACCTGCCAGGAAAGCAGTCTCCACAGCCCAATGTGTCCTGTCTGAAGTGACGGTCCCCCCTGGAGTGGCTGTGATCCAAACCCTCTACTCTTGTCTCCTGTATCAAGTCTTAGCTCTGCCCCCACCTCCAGGCTTGAGACTCACAGACTCCCCTCCCCCAGGCTCTCCCCCCCCCCCCCGACCCCTGCTGCCTGGCTCACAGGGCTGTAGGGAAGGTGCATCTTGGAATCTAGAGGCAGGCAAGGCCTGAGGCAGGAAAGGCG